ACACTTGAGAACGTCACAATCAAGTTTTTAAAAAATTGTAACCACCTGCCACTTCATAATGTTTTGAATCACTCTATAATTTTGTGATCGACTATACATGGCCTATAAAATGCAGGTTAGCCCATACTCCAGTGTCCATGGCACACGACTCCAGGAGTCAGATCTGGGCTTCATTTCTACACCATCCTAATTCCTACATCTGGCTCTCTCCGTGACTCTCGATCGTTCTAAAAATTAACTTGGAGACCAGAAGAGAATGCAATGGATATTATTTTTCCAAGGAAAGGATTCTTGTTTTCCTTTTATGTGTGCGGCGTGACTTTTCCCGGGGAGAAATGGACAAACGCCCGTTCACGCTAGGCACGGCACGGGGACATCCGAGACTAAGGACTGCAATGCAAGCCCAGCTTGTGAGCCAATGAGGTTATTGGGGTCACTTACAGGAGCAAAGATGGGGATGGACTTCATCGGGATGTGGCTGACTCAGAAATAGCTGCCTCACCTCAAGGTCCCACCCACCCCGGGTGACAACTTCTTGGAGTGTCTCCACCAGTTAGCCTTCCCGCTCTTAGATACCCCAGCATCTCCCAAGACCATGTGCAGCCAGGGTGCAGGAAGAAATAATGGTAGGAACCCCAACTGAGGGTCCTGTGACTAGCCTTCCTCTCTTTACACTAGCCATCCCATTACCATTACCATATCAACAACCACTCTTTTACTGTGCTTATATCGTTACCATGACTATGGGCCAAGCATCGTGTAGGTGCCATGGCAGCCCCTGCCCTGTGATGGCCAGTGGTCATGTCACACCTGAAGAAAACTGTAGTGGGTAGCCATTCCAGCTTTGATCTGGAAGTTCCAACCCCCATTGAGACTTCGGCAACTGTCACGCCTACAAGGCGGGGCCAAGGGAGATGCCGGGGGACCCGAGATCTGGATCGGCGGGCGCTCTCTCTGTGGCGGGACCCTGGACTGGAGAGGTGGACTGAGCAGAGCTCCAGAGAACACCGCTGGACTGTGATACACCTTCCCCAGACTCCGCGACCTACCTATTCCTTAATTTGTAAGTTACGCCATTAAATAAATCTCCTTTTAACTACGTGGAGTGGCCTTAATAATTTCACCAATAGAAAACTGCTTTACATGATCCGTTGAAGATGCATCCCTGATCATCATCAAAAACATTCCTTCTTTGTATTAGGGCCCTGCCATTAATTTTTAAATTTAACTAATTAGGCCAGGCAGCGGTGACACACGCCTTTAATCCCAACACTTAGGAGGCAGATCCAGGCAGATCTCTGTGAGTTTGAGGCCAGCCTGGTCTACAGAGCGAGATCTAGGACAGGCACCAAAACTACCCGGAGAAATTCTGTCTTGAAAAACCAAAAAAACCAAAAAAAAAAAAAAAATTAACTAATTAATTCATTATGGGTGAACCTTTAGATGCATGTGTCCATGTGTTTGCAAACGTGTGGTGTGCCTGTCTGTCTGCAGGTGCACATGTATGGGGTGTGCATGCGCATGCATGTGTGCATGTGGAGGCTTGAAGTCAATCTCAGGTTTCACTGGGACAGGGTCTCTCATTTGCTCTGGAGCCTACCGATTCAGCCAGGCAGGCTTGGGGCAGCAAGTCTCAGGGATCCTCCTGGTGTCAGCTTCCCGGTTTGGGGGTTACAGGCACGTGCCACCCTGCCTGGCTTCTTCCTGTGCACTCTGAGGGTCGAACTCAGGTCTCCATCCTTGCCTGGCAGCAACTCTACCTGCTTCTCCAGAGACCGCAACCAGTGACCCGCCATTTGCAGTCTTCCTACGGATATGCATTTTGTTAGTGACGTGCAGCGTGAAGGGAGACTGACAGCTGGTGCCTGCCTCAGCCATATGTCTGTTTTACTTTTCGGGGCCCAGAGCTTTGGTGAGGGCTGTCCCAGTTGCTGTGATGAGTGAACCTCCGATAGAAATAGAGAAGTCAGGAAACGCAACCTATTTTGTGGGAAGATGATTAATTCATTTTTAGACGTTTTTGAATTTGAAAGGAGGGTTTGACATCCGGATGGAAGTGGCTGGTGCTTAGCTGGGCGCTGCGGAGTCTAAATAACTCCTGGGTGCCTGCGCTGCAGAAGAACTGTTTTATTTTTTGCCTCTAAGTGGCTTTGTGCTCTGGTCAAGTCTTCCTCTTAGGGATTTCATTGTTTGACTCTACGGCAGCTCCAAGGCTAAGCAGCCACCTCGCTGGCATGTCTTAGGCTTGAAGGGGTTGCGGGGAGGCTGTCTGGCTGGGTCTGTCACTGTAGTGGTGTTAGAGGGAAAAGACGTCAGGAGAGTGGTCCCTGGTGTTGGACAGTGCCCATGTGCAGGGGCCAGGGAACGGTGCTCTGTTTTTGACTTTCCTTCCCTCCTCTCCCTCCTCCTCCTCTACCACTCCCTCCTCTCTCTCCTCTCCCTCCTCCTCCCCTTCCTCTTTTTCCTTCTCTGTTCTTTTTCCCTTTTCTGCCTCTTCTGTCCCCTTCTCTTTCCTTTTCTTCTTCCTTCCCTTTTTCTTCTTTATTTCACTACATAGCTGGGGCTAATCTTAGCTGGCTTCAAACTGGTGATTCTCCTGCTTCATACTTTAGAGTGCTCAGATTCCATGCCTATCCTAGTTTGGATTTTTTTCAAATGAGCAGGGTCAGAGTGCTTTGGACAGTGAGTGGCGGGGATTAACATGGAGTTGTCTGTTTTTTTTCTTTTATGTGCATTTCAGAGAGGACCCAGAGGTTAACTGTGCAGATGCAAGCTTTAGTGCTGAAAAGGATTCTGCAGATTACTTACCCAGAGAGTAGCAGATGTGTGGGGACGCATTCCTCTCCTGTGGGACCAAGGCCTTCAGCTTGTGCTGGGAGGAGATGACCCCTTCCACCGCTTAGTCTAAATAAACACCTTGCAGTAGACTGCATATGTTGGAGGGAGAACGTCGTGTGTGTGTGTGTGTGTGTGTGTGTGTGTGTGTGTGTGTGTGTGTGTGTGTATACACCAGAGGAAAACCTTGGGTTTTGTACCTCAGGAATCACCCATCTTGTCTTTTGAGCCAGAGTCTCTGTCACTGGCTTGTGACTCGCCAAGTAATCTGGACTCTCAGGCTAGAGATCTCAAGGGATCCACCTCTCCTGTGTTGGGATTAGCAGTGCCCGCCCATATATCTGGCTTTTTTTTGGGGGGGTGTGTGTGTGTGTTCTAGAGATAACCTGAGCCCCTCGTGTTGGCAAGGCAAACACTTTACCCACTGAACTATCTGCCCTGTGCTGGGAGACCTGCTCTGCCCCAGTAATGGCAGGGACTTGGGCTGGGTGAATCTGGCCATGAGGAGTCTTTAATTTCTTTTGAGAGTGCCCCAAATCTCTTCATTCTTAAACGCCTTGAGGTGTCGCTTTCCTTCACGGGGAGCCATTTCTGAAAGTATCCTCTTTACCCCAATCAGGCTTGGGGGGCTGCATCTCAGACTGGCACACCCCTACATGCGTGGAGTTGTAAAAACTTGGAGCTGAATATGGTAGTGACTCCCTGGAACCCCAGCACTCGGGAGGCTGAGCCAGGGACTCTTCAATTTCAAGACCAGCCTGAGCTATGTAGTGAGTCTGGGGGTCAGCTTTGAAGCTCATTTTTTTGTCTTGGTTTGTATGTGTGTGGTGTATACACACGTGTGTGTGAAGGTTCAAGTGCTTCTGTGTGGACATGTCCATGAGGAGGCCAGAGGAGGCCATCAAGCGTCCTTCTCTCTCTTTTATTACTTTATTCCTTTGAGACAGGGTCTCTTACTGAACCCGGAAAGGGTGGCAGCCCGCAAGTTTCTGCTCTCCTGAACCCCCACAGCACTGAGGTTACAGGCACACACACACGGATATGCCCAGCTTTTCACATGGATGCTGGGGATTTGAACTCAGGTCCTCACACTTAGGACCTGACAAGTCCTTGTAGAAGTTACCTTTCCCATTGATCCATCTACCCAGACCTCTAAACTCTCAATTAAAAAAAAACAAACGAAAGATTTTGTACATTTCTTCCCTTCCTCGAGTGTTATATGGCTGGAACACCCACTTTCCCTGAGGAATGTGACCTACTTACAGTTTCGCATGAATGTCGCCAAGATGTCCTGTTGCCGGATAGGACAGTGTTTCTGGGATGCTCGGGTTTTTCCAACTTGGAGTGATAATGTGTGAGACCCACAAAAAGAGTGAAGGGTGGTGGTGTTTATATAATGCAGCAGTGATACTGGGTTTGGTGGTGTGGGTCTGTAATCCCAGCTATCCAGAAGGCCAGTCCAAGCTGTAGAGGGAGCCCAAGTGCAGCCCAGGCTAGGGAGTGAGATTTACGCCAGCCTGGGCAAATTAGCAGGGCTCTGTCTCCTGAGAAAAAGGGCTGGTGGACCAGAGATGGGGCTCAACTGTAGAATGCACGCCTAGGTATTTCTGCTGTACTGCAAAAACAAAATGTGAAACAAACAGACAAAAAAACAGGATCAAAACAGAAATAAAAAGAATTGGTTTGATATCTATCGTGGTTTTTCACGGTTTTCGAGGGCATTGCTGTTTAAATTCGTATGAAATGAGAGAAATGAAGAAGCTAAATTGAGGTGAGGGAGAACCCAAGATCCTTTGGGAGTTGTTCAGGCTGTGAGGACCCTGTAAATATTCTAAATTCCGTCTTTTAGTGTGTGCGTGCGTGTGTGTGTGTGTGTGTGTGTGTGTGTGTGTGTGTGTGTGTGTGTGGTGTGGATGTGCACATGTGTGTGGAGGTCGGAGGGAAATTGCGGGATTCAGTTCTCTCCTTTCATCATGGGAATTCCAAATTCCAGGGATCACACTCGGGGTGTCAGGCTTGGATGCAAGTGCCTTTACCCATCACACCTGCCCTGGAGTTGGAAATTTGCCATCTGAAAAACCAGAGCCAACCCCCTACGGGAATGATGGGGGAACAAACGGATGGTGACGACTTTCTCTCCTTCTCTCCTCTTCTCTCCGGAACAGGGAAAAGATGCCTTTCCACCATGTAACCGCTGGCTTGTTGTACAAGGGGAATTACCTCAACCGATCTCTGTCTGCCGGCAGTGACAGCGAACAGTTGGCTAATATCTCTGTGGAAGAACTGGATGGTAAGGAGCTGCCTACTGGGAGCTTATCCCCACTCTCCGAAGCCATTTTGGACAATTGGGAAGCTGTATGGGGTGTTGGGAAAGTCCTCGGACTGTTGGGAAGCCATCTTGCACATTGGCAAGCCAAGAGTGTATGGCATTGGCAGTTGGGGCTAAGTGTGGAGAGATGGGAAAGAGTTCAGAGACAAACTTTTGTCTAAATGACTTCTTTGTGTGGGATGGACCTTATGGCCTGAAAAATCTATGATGAGTGTGGTTACCTTGGATACTGATTGGGAGATAGATTTATTTATTTATTTTCTTAAAATCTATTGTTGGAATCTTCTTGTGATGGCATATGCCTGTCAGCATTCAACTGAGGCAGGGGGGTGGAGAATTGATTACATAGTGGGGGTCAAGGTCAGTGTTGCATATATAATGAGATACTGTCTCAAAGCAACAAAACAAAAGACATACTATGTATATAGTTGGCAGGGTCTTTAGAACTAGAATTACCTTGTTGTCTTTATTGCCATTTATAGTGGTGTCCATCTGTGGGGGAGGCTTAAGCCCTGGTTATTGCTGTCTCTTGACTTGGGGCCATGGTACTTTGAACAGCACCCAAATAAGAATCATCTGGAAGCTTCAACTAGGTAGGAACAGGCAGTAATTATCTTAATTGCCTCTGTTCTTGTGTAACACAGCACATCCCTGAGTGCCCAGGACAAGGGTGGATGGAAATTAACCCTGGGAATACAGTGCCCAAATTCATCTTAGGATGGCGTCCTGTTATATTTTGGATAAACCCATGTTCTTATTTAAAACAACACCACCAGCAAAGCTAAAAAAGGGAGTAAGGACTTTATTCTAAACTAGAGAGTGAGGTTGATTCATTTGATGACGTCTGCTGAGATCAATCTGGAATCAGTTTCCCTGTGGCTTCTTCGTGCTGTGTTCTGGTAATGCCATCTTACTAAATAAACTTGAGTTTTGCTTTGACTATAGAGAAGTTGCAGCTACTCCAGATGGACCACATCTTTGCTCCCAAGTGTCAGGTTCAGACCCGTGGCATTTTCTATGTGTCTCTTAGTGAGCTGATTTCTCAGTAGCACTTCCTTAGGCCAGCACAGGCGCAGTTGCTTGAGTATGGGCAGGAGGTGAGGGATGGAGAGATGACAGGCCATCGGTAGGTTTTCCTTTGATTACACATCTTGTTTGCAATCTTATTGCGCTGCTTGGTTTTCACACAGATGACCAATGGAGTTGCAGGGACTCGTGGGCGGCATCCATGGTGATACTAGGAGAGGTTGGGAAAGGTGGGCGTTGTTGGGATGTAGCTCAGTGGTAGAGCAGTTGTGTACTGTGTAGAAGGTTCTAGATTTGAGTCTCAACATTGCAGAGAGAAATAGAGGAGAGGGGACAGGGAAGGAGAAGAAACACATGTGTACTCAACCAACACCATCACACTCACACACCCACCTACCCTCACCCCTGAACAGCGTCTGTGTTCCATGTGCTCTCTGAACAGAGGCTGTTGGCCTAAGAGGTGAGTTATATCCTGGGACCTTTTCACCTTCTGTTGGTGAAAGGATGTTCAGAGATGTGCTACACAGAAGCAGGAGGAGAGCCCTGCCATCTCCAGAGCAATCCCAGGTTTGTAACCACAACAGGATAACTCCATGCTTGGGGTGATGTCTTTGTCCATTTGGAAGTGCTATAACAAAATGCCACAGTCAGGTTGACCTGTAAATGACAGGAAGTTATCTCCCATAGTTTAGAAAACTGGGAATATAATAATACTGTGATACCCTTATGTCCTCAGTGGTCAAAAGAATGAATTAATGCCCTTGGGCCTCTTCTAAAGGAACATCACCGACATTCATGAGGGTTTTGTCCTTTTGATAACTTAACCCAAATACCCCACCTTATTATGTAGGTAATTTGGTTCCCTTGTAGGAATTATGGGGAAACACAACATTAAGAACGTTAAGAGGTGTATTTGAAGGTAAAGAGAAGCCCAAGCTTTGCCCTATTCTTGGAAATTTATATGGCAGAGATTTTTACTTTTATTTTTGTAGGATCCTGTGGCAATTTGATTCTAAAAATGTTCCCCAGTAGCTCATTCTTTTAATTTTTTCTCCCCTCTCTTTCATTACATTATTTTATTTTGCTTTATAAAATAAAAGTAATTGTAAAGGCGCCTGAGTGTATGACTCATTAGAGTTGTATTATCCACCACCTGTTACAGTCCATTCACCTATACTTACGCTTTCATTTTGTAACTTGCTTTTGGTTCTAATTATTTGACCAGATTTTCATAGACCCAACTTTCTGTTCATGTTTACCACCTCATTGGCTTATGTAGTATTTAACTTACTGTAATTATTGTAAGTATATCACAACCAACTCTTGGTAAATTGATGGGAGCAGAGGCAGATGTACTGGTTTGATAAAAAATCCACTTAACTAGAGGTGCATGTTCAGCAATTTATCAGAAGGCTTTACAGAGAGAATGGAGAGCGCTGATAATTCTACCACATTTGGTCAAGAAAGTTCATAGGAGAAGCTGCTGTTGCCTGGCTGTGTGGTACCTGTGGGTATATACATGTGTCAGTGTATTTCATCTACTACGATTATTCTCTCCTCTCCTCCCCCATGTGTGTGTGTCTGTGCCTGTGTATACATGCATGTGTGTGCAGGTACCTGTGGAGGCCAGAAGAGGGCACCAGATCCCCAGAGCTGGAGGTACAGGTTGTGTGTAAGCTACCCAGGTTTTTGTGCTGAGAACTAAACTTGGGTCCTCTGCAAGATCAGAAAGTGCTCTCCAGCTTCAGATATTTTGTTATACAGCTATTTAAACAAAGGATTCAAGTCCACATAATCCCATCTCTCTATCTATCTATCTATCTATCTATCTATCTATCTATCTATCTATCTGCCTGCCTGTCTCTATCTATCTATCTATCTATCTATCTATCTATCTATCTATCTATCTGTCTGTCTGTCTGTCTGTCCGTCCGTCCGTCCGTCCGTCCGTCCGTCCGTCCGTCCATCCATCCATCCATCCATCCATCCATCCATCCATCTATCTATCTGCCTGTCTCTGTCTCTATCTGTCTATCTATCTATCTATCTATCTATCTATCTATCTATCTATCTATCTATCTGTGCTGGTGCTTGGGTGGTTCAAACCCAGGGCACCGTAGATGCTAGGCACTGTTGTACCTTTGCAGGTGCATGCTTTGAGTTTGTGTTCTCCACCTGTGGTACTATTTTGGGAGGATGTGGGACCTTTGGTGGGTGGAACCTGGTTGGCAGAAGTTCGTCACTAGGAATAGGCCGCTAGAGGTTATTCACCTGCTGGTTCCTATTGTTCCATCTGCTTCATCCACCATGATGGGAACACCCCCACTGACTCACTCTCACTGCCATGAGCAGAGCTGCTCCATCAAGCTTTCCTTGCCCTGTGGACTGAAACCCGGCTGTAGGGACATGAAGGTTCAGTCCCCTAGGCTTAGCTGCATTAGGAACTTGGAACATTCCACAGTGAGCAACCTGGCCATGGGAACTGGACAATGCCACTTGTATATGTGTGTGTGTGTGTGTGTGTGTGTGTGTGTGTGTGTGTGTGTGTGTATACATGTGCTTTTTGGGGGTTATTTTTGCATGTGTGTGCATGTGTACATAGAAGCCAGAAGACAATCTCAAGTGTTACTCCTCAGAAAAAAGCCACCTTGTTTCCTTGAGACAGGGTCTCTCATTGGCCCAAACTCATCAGGTAGGCTGGTCTGCCAGCGAGTGCCAGGGGTCCTCCCATCTCTGCCTCCCCACTACATGCCACCATGTCCTATTTATTTCTTCTTTTTTTTTCTTTATTTTTTAACTTGACTCTGAGGATCAAAATCAGATTGTCATGCTTCTAAGACCAGCACGTCAATGACTGAGCTGTGTCCCCAGCCCCGTTTTGGGTGACCTTTGAAGAGTTTGAGATTACCAACCTGGTTGACTTTGGAAGTCATCTATAGCTTTAACTTTGTAAGCACCAACAATGGGCAGCTCACAACCTATACCCTCAGCTTGAGGGATCTGGTTCCCTTTCCTCCCTCGTAACTGTTCCCTTAATAATTAGGAGACTATTTCTAGGGGATTTAAAGCAAGCAGAAGCTTTCTTGCAGTCCATCTGGGCTCTGCTCTACCAACTCTTTATGGCTGTAAAGGCTGCTAGCTGGATTCGGGCCCTTTTCCCCTGCTGTCTCCTATATAGGCTCCTTGCTGAGCTGCCCTCCCTATTCTTGGGCAGGCTATAAAACAAACAAGTGTACTGCTGCTTAAACCAGGTCTGGGCATCCTGAACCGGACCTGAGTGTACCTTTTTAGTAGATACAGGAACTGGCAGGAATTGTAACTACCCTCCAAGCGCAGGTGGGGGGTCCCAGGTTGAGAGAAACCTGCACTTTATGACATGAGGCTGACTGGTGAAGATGATGTGTTTGTCCTTCAGGATGGTAATCCAGACTCTCTGCCTGCAGAAGGGCCATTTATTTTTCTGATGGAAGATTCATTCTTTTTTATTTATTTATTTATTTATTTTGCCAAGGTGAACACTGAGCTATGACTCTCCCTGCTTTATTGCAAGTATCCCAGGGCTCTGGGCACGACAGTGAAGATGTGCTCTGGGTTTAGAGCAGACAGGCAGGGTCTGAACACCAGCTGGCAAGAGCTGGTTCACCAGGCTGCAGATTGGATCTTGGGGAAGACAAATTTCAGAGGCATTGTGTAATTACTCTTTTCGTGGGCTGCCTGATGTGAAAGTTCTCCTGCTTAGGACCAGTCATGTATCCCTAGGAGATAAATGGTATGGCACATGGACTTATTTGGTACCCTGGACACTGATAGTCATAACAGCATCCTCCGTGATCTGGCTGGGTTGGTATATTACTTTTTTTGTTTCTGTGAGTACAATACATTTAGAGACCAACTTGAAAGAGGAAAGAGTCATTTGGGCTCATGGTTTCAAATGA